GTTGGTGTCCATCTTATTAAGCACACCACTAGCCGACCCTACATTATCAACACCAATTGGTACTTTCTTTGGAGTTTGCTTGCGCTTCCTTGCCGCAATTTTAATTCAATCTCTTTTACCATTATCTTCATCTTAATTTTCAGCAGCATCAAAACAATCATCCAACCCAAGAGCCCTCTTATCCTCACTATCTTCAAATGACAAACCATCAGCTTCAAAGTCACTATCCTCATTTATCTCAACTTGTTCAACACCACCTACACTAGCTTTTTCATCTAGCTCAACTTGTTCCACACCACCAAATTTATCTACTTCAACATTCTCAACACCACAAACATCAGTACTTACTTCATCTTGTTCCACACTACCAACTTTATCTACTTTAACATTCTCAGCACCATCAACATCAGTACCTACTTCATCTTGTTCCACACCACCAACATTATTCACTTTAATATTCTTAACACCACCGACATCATTAACTAGTTCAACTTATTCCAAACCACCAACACTATCTACTTCCACATTCTCAACACCACCAACATCATTACCTAGTTCGACTTGTTCAACATCATCAACAATAGCTTCTTGAAAATCACTTACATCACCTTCTTCTACATTGCATTTACCTTTATGCTCTACATATATGTGCATTGCGCATTTCATTTCCATGGCATATTGATATACATTAGAAGCATCTGTGTCACTAACAATTCTACTATACCTATCAGCGTCATTGTTATGCCACCATAACCAATACTCATTCTACTCAAGATCAAATAACTTTTTCATGATAGATATTGCTTCAAAGAATCTCCACCTATCAGGATCTATTTCTACTACATGCTTGTTTCTCCCTGTGTAATACAATAGACAATCCCTATCAAATCTATCCTCGTAGTGAACAATCAAAGAGAACTCCATTCAAAAATACATAATGAGTGAATATTTGTACCTTCATTTTGAATCTACTACATGTGATACTTGTTGGATGATCTTGATATCATCATTTCGCCATCTTCGTCTTCTTCCCTCACATAGTCAGCTTCAATGTAGTGTTTTTATTTTTTGATTAAAAATCCTAATTTACAGGGACTAAATACAAAATGTATAATATGCACACTATTAGATTTTTGGCGGAAATTTTATAACTATCAACATACATATATTAATAAATGAAAAACACCTAAGTCAATTTTACGTATGCCCCGTTTGCATAGTCAAATTTATTTTAACAGAAAGCTAATATTATGGATTAAAGAAAACACAAAAGCAAATTATAAAGACTCAGATAAAAAAAGTTATAAGGATTAAATTTAAAAATTAGTTAATTTAGAGAGACCAAATAATTATTTAAATCTAAAAGAAATAACATAGCATTGTCCATGTAGACTCATGATGCTTGTTTTTTCACTTTTAATTATGTGAGTAACATATATTTATAAACAACAATTTAAAACGAAACCGCAACTTCCCCATTTATAAAACCAACTTGTCCTAAATTAGTTACACAAAGTATTTGATTTCCTTAAATTCCCAACTTGTTAATTTGTTATAGGTAGGAATTGATATGAATTGTAGCATTTTTACATGATAAATTTAGCCTAAAAAGGTTAGGGAGGGTTTTGTGGGGCTCAAGGTGGGGTCACTAGAAAGTAAACACGTGGCAATCATGCCAAGGATAGTGATACATATCATTTCATCATGTAACTAAGTCTTTTTTTCTCAATAAATTGAATATCATCCTACTACAATTTTAAAAGGGTGTTTCGAGATTTGATTTTTTTGGGGTTAAAATCGATTAAAAATATATGAATTGATTTAAATTAAATTTATATATTTTATAAATTGAATTAATAAATAACAAGTTGGTTTATATTAGATTAATAAGTTATATAAAAATAAATATATAAAAATATTTTATAAAATATTTAATTTACTTCAATTAATTTTAAAATTATATAATTTTTTTTTGTTTTTGCATATTAATTGTGAATATTACAAATGAATTTTTTTAAGTTGAATATATTATTATAATTTTTATAATAATAATTATGATTGATTGGAATAGATGAATTTGGTAATAGAATTTTAGAAATCTATTGTCTAAATAAATTGAAAAATTCTTTTACCCTCTATTTAAATACTCGGAAACGGAAAAAAGAAAGCTTACCATCTGATTTGAATGTTGTCTTGTGAATCCTATTATAAATACTAGAATTAAGAAGTATTTATATAAAATTAAGTTGAAAAAAAAGAAAGAGAAGAAGAGAGTGGAGGAGCACATGGGTGGGTGTTAGGTTCAAGGAATTCATGTGAGCACATGTGCTTTCTCCCTTTTGTTTTGTGGTTTGTGGGACCATTTTTTATGCCTTCATATCTCAACTCCACAGCTCACACCAATTTAATCACTACTAGTACTAACGGGGTTATATTTTTCAGTCACACTTTATTTTTTAATATGCTTTTACTTTTTTATTTTTACCTATTCATATCCACCATTCTTCATGTGTTTTTGCTTCTCATATAACCCCTAATCTATCACCTACATTTATTTCATTTATTCTTACTGGCTAAGGAACCTTACAACCTAATCACAATGCATATTTATGGAGTTTTAATAATATGCATGCGGTTGAATCACCATAAATGTCTCATTTGAGTCACCAATTTAACACAATCAAACAATGTAGAGTTCAAGCATTAGTCATTCAATCTTAATATGATGGTTAAGATCAATTAATATATGGTTTTATTATGTAAATACTCCTCTGTCTCACAATTCTCACATTAAATGATTCATTTGAAATAAAATTGTACTTTAAAATATATGATTCATTTTAATTTTCAATGTAATTTTTTCTATTTTACCGTCTAACTAATATTATTTTCTTCATTTTCAATACATCATAAAGATTTTTAGTAAAAATATCATCATTTCTTTTATTTATTCATTTTTTTTAATTTGTGTAAAAAATTAATTAAATCACTCGTTATAAGACCGAGAGAGTACCAATTATTATCATTTGTCACATTTTTTTTAAAACAACCATCAGAGATATGTCTGTTCCGTTTATAATTTTTTTACAAAAGTTCAAAAAAATGGAATTTAACAAGTACATTTGAGAATTCGGATTTTAAACATTAATTTATTTGTACTAAATATCGGACAGAGCAGGTCTGCGAACACTGCACATTTCAATATTAATTACATAAAATTATGTTAATGTTCGTGTCCTCAAAAACCAACAAAAAAATAAGGCAGAATGAGACGGATATGAGAGCTTAAATCCTTGATCTCTTTCACTCTAAAATACGGATAAAATAGACATATCTAATTAGTCGGGTCTATTTTACCATCCGAATCAGGACGATTATTAATTTGATCAAAATTATAATAAAAAAACCACACATATTCAAAAGTTTCAAAGAATTGTTTTATAATTTTAACGTTATATTATATTTGAATGTGATTTTTCAATTGATTTGATTGTTTAATGTGAATCCAAACGCATACTTAGTATTTTTTTTAGCATAACATTGCATGGACAATTCAATTCAATAATGAGAGAATATTGTCTAATACACATTCATTAAATATTTTGAATATAAGTAAGTGATTTAATAATAAGTGACCAAATGTATTTTGGGTAGATTTTGATTTTAAAAATATCTATTTAGTTCATAAACGGGTGAGTGAATCATGTCAAACTTAGTTGAATATCTTGACGTTTGGATGCTCCCGTACAATAGAAAGTATACATAAACATTCAAATGTTCAACATAAATATAATTTCTTTTTAAATTTAAAATCAAACTTATATAAAAATAGAAATGCGCTATTTTTTATAGCAAAATCAATTATTTTAAAAATTATATTTATATTTTATTATTGTAAAATCAATCATTTTAAAAATTATATTAATAATTCTAGAAGATACAATATTACTACTCATAAATTTCTGAACTTGTGTAAATAATTAATTGATTCTTCTGATATTAATAAAACAAAAATGTTAAAAAAATGATATAAACACATGTTAGATTGTCAAAAACATATTTTTTATATTTAATCACTTTACTTAAAATATTTTTTAAAATTGTTTATTCGTTGAAACTGTTAAGAAATGTGGTTGGACCTAACTCAAAATTACAAAATCGATTTTGTAAGGTTGTGTTAGGCCAAACTCTAATATTGTATCAGAGTCTATCGATCGAACCTTGGGCATTCCATCGTTTAAAATTCACGCACCAAACTCAAAAAAAGTGTTTGGCGTGAGGGGGTGTATTAAGAAGATTCTAAAGTCCCACATTGGTTAGAGATAGAGTATTGAAATAGTTTATATAGAACGACACTCCTCACCTTACTAACCGGTTTTATAAAATTATATTAGATCAAACTCTAATAGAAATTACTTGCCCGTAAAACTATTTTAGGTTGACGTCATCTCATCTCGAACAGATTATGATTACTTTTACTAGAACTTGAAGTTTATCTTATTTCAATCTCTTCAAAAATCAATTTGTAATATACACTTAATATAAAGTAACATCTTTTTGACAGCATCTAAAATAGCTGTTGTCAACAAAACAAAGACCTAGCTAGCTACTACTAGTTTTCCAACCATGTGCTTCAATTACATTGTAATTATCAGAAATAAAAAATTTTACAAATGAAAGGTGAAAATTTTGCATGTGAAAGTACAGAATTGCCCATAAATTTATGATAGTATCACACACTAGACTACACATAAGTCCAATTAATCCAAAAAAACTTGGGTGTTTCTTCTTTGTATTCTCTTGTGTCCAAAATGAGTGGGTCCAGCTTCGTTGGCATTGACATTTCTAGACCTCAACAATAATTTAACATCTTCCTCTTCTCCCTCTCCTTTAACATTTCTCATTCATTCATAATTATTATTACTACTACACAATCTCTCTCTTTTTCTCCCACATATTCAAAACTATTTTACAATTATTTATTTATACACTCATAATCCATGGAAGAAGAAACCATGGAAATGCAAAACATGAACACTACTACCGCTACTACCACCACCACTACCGCTCGTGAAGTTCAAAAGTCTCTGCATGTCTTACGGCGAAGCCGAAGACGGTGCACGGAGGTTGTTGGCGGTAAGGAGAAACTGATTTTGCTAAAGGAAGTTGCTGTGGAGAAGAAAGAAAAGGAGGAAGACGAAGAAAGTGATGATAGAGAAGAGATAGAGAGAAAGATTAATGCATTGCAGAGGATTGTACCTAACGGTGAGTCTTATGGTGTGGACAAGCTTTTTGATGAAACTGCTGGTTATATTCTGGCTTTACAGTATCAAGTCAAAGCTTTGAAAGCTCTTACTGGTTTCTTTCAAAAGATGGAGAAAGATAAGACTAAACTTGGTGGTTAATTTATTCTCATCATTCTTCAACAACTTCTTCATCAATCAAATGGAATTTCTTAGGTTAGAGAGGTTCTTAATTTTTTTTTTTTTATAGGTCTATTAGTTTATTTAGATTTTTTATTGGGTTTTTGTTTTTTAATGTTGTACTTTTGGTTCATTGGGATCAAGGCTCAAGGAAAATATTTCTCATTTTCTTAGATTTTTTTTAATTTAATTTTTTATTTATTTATTTTTCATGGTTTAATAGCAATATGTTTTTGGATAATTTATAATATATTTATGGAAGAAAGAGGTTGGATGAGTTGGTAAATAACATGGTATTGGAAGACATAGTTGATGTTGCAAGATTTGGGAAAAAAGATTAGGAAAAAAATTTGAGATTTTTGGAGTGAAGTTAGAATGGATGAAAGTTTATGATGTGTTGTGTATTGTTGGTGATGTATGTGGGCTTTGGTGGAGTTTTTTTCATTTTGGTATGGTGGGCCAGGCAATTGGATCCAAAAATCTGGATTGAGATCAGACACATTTTCAAAAGTAACATGGCACATACATTGCTCATACATGTTAGTCATTAGTCACTTTCTCTTTATTTTTGTTGTTGTTGTGAACTTTTTTTGTTGTTGTGATTTTGGAATATGATTGTTTGACTTTTTGGATGTTAGCTAATAGTACCACTCTAACCTAGACTTGTGATGCTGCATACTAAAAGAATATAGAAAACATAGGTTTTTTTATATATATTAAAGAATGTAAAAATGTTATTATAAAAAATTATACTTTTATTAAATTATCTCTATAATATTTTGGAATTAGTACAAGAGTAATAATTAAAAAATACAATTGAAAAAATAACAATAATTTTTATATTGAATAGTAATAATGATATTTATTTTAAAACAAATAACGACATTTATTTTAAAATAGATGGATTATTTGTCTAGTATATACTCGTCTGCTACAATTAGACGTGGCAAAACAGATTCGATCGGTTGGACATGTCTATTTTGCCTACGTGACAAAACAGATTCGATTTGTTAGACATGTCTATTTTGCCTGCATTATAGTGTAAGATGGATTAAAAAATTAAATATTAATTCTCTAATGTGTTCACCCTAAATTGCCTATTCTTTTTTGAAACTTTTGTGGGCATGAATATTAATATAATTTTATGTATTTTTAAGTTTAAAATGTACAATAGCCGAGGTCTGTCCTACGTGTACGCACTTTTTTTCCGAATGGATTAAAGTTTTGAGTTTGCACCTTTAAGTATCTACCTGCACTTATTTTTTCACAGTGGATTAAAATTTTTGACCCGCATCTTTAACTTTAACTATATCTACCGCACGCATTTTTCAGAGTAAATTAAAATTTTGAACCTGCATCTTTAACTATATCTACTATGTCTCATATTTTTGAGTTTTTGCGGAACGGCCATGCCTGTTGCAACCCTTAGCTACGACTATACAGCTATTATACTTTTGAATTATTGCTGAATTAAACTTTCATTCTTAAAAATTATTACTTAAATTTTTTTTTTTTGGATTTAGTGGGAGAATTAAGTATTATTGAGGGTATTATGAATAATTCAAAATTGGTAATCCTTATAAGTTGCAGATAATGAAGAGTCAAACACTTGAGAAAACCGCATTTAAACAGTATTCAATTCTCTGCTGACACTGTCACATACTACAAAGTATGATGAATAGCATATAGACAACCTATTCTGCTACAAACAATCTACACTTAATTTATAATCCGAGAAGAATTGAGTCAAAACTGTAAAAAAGCAAAAGAGTAGTACCAAAAGACTTAAATAAAATCAAAAACTAATGAAAGAGATTAATGATAGAACACTGCTAGTAGGTCTGAGACAGTAATGCATTAGTACAACAGTTACTATTATGGAGAATTGAAGAAAGTTTTATAGGCAATACAACACCCTGGCAATCTTATTTCAGCATACTTTGCGGAAAAACATGTCCAAACACAGCTTGCAAAACTTTTTCTACTAGCTGGAATAGTGGCAGTAGCAAGTGTTACTCAGTTTCCATTAATTTTGGAGAATCATAGTTTCTTTGTATAAAGAAATCTCACTGGTCAGAAAACATTAATACTCTTAATGGCTTTATTAAGCATTGATATAAGACAAAATGTAGCTTTAGTGTTCATTCTTATAATTTTGACTAAATAAATATATTCACAGTATTCATGCAAATTACATAATAAAAAATATCAATAAATCTCATATATCTATTTTTTTTAAGAGCAAAGGTAAATGATAATGGTTGGTGCAATACATCAAAATATATTTTATTTAATTATTTTAGTGATACATGTAATTTTTTGTTGTTCTTTTTATTATTTATGTGTCTCTAAATTGTTTTTGACTATAGATATGTATTTTCCCTTTTTTAGTTAGTATTTGGTTAGTTTTTTTTGGTTAGTTACTTAGCTTGGTTAACTTATGAATTGTTCTGGGTTATTGTGATTATGAAATTTTAATTCTTCGCTTTTAAAGTAATTTTTTAATATTAAAATATGTGTTGAATTGATATTTTATTTGATTTTAGAATAATTTTTCACCAAAATTAAAAAAATGGATAGATTTTATAATTAATTTTGTTTTACCATCACGTCAATGATTACCGTTTTGAGTCGATCACAAGGTTTAAGATGTAAAGTTCAAAGACAGGGCGAAAGAAGTGAATGCGGGAAAAAAAGTGTTTCATGCTTCGAACAGAAACTTTTTCATATGAGACATTACCCACCATACAAATCAATCAGACTCTGTTTTCGCTGAACACATTGCATTCGCCGTAGACAGATTTAATCACTCCCACTTATAAGAGAGAAATCGTGACATTCTAATGTATCAAAATTCATTCTCTCACACATTATTCTTTATTTTCTCACTAACTGACATGTTGGAGTGTTAACCTTGTAGGTCATCCTCTATCCATCACGTCAGAAGCACAAGTTCATTGTAGAAACTAAAATCTCATCAACAAAAAACTCAGGGGTGCTGTCACAACCTCCACTAATGTACGACGAAAGCAATCAAAGTCTTACGGCTCTAATGCACAAATAAAGATAACAAACCACAAAGTGTTAATTATAGGTTCACCGCTCTTGGTAGCTAGCCACTCCAAAGATAGTGGTGAGTCCATATTACGTCGACCTCGAACCAGGTTCTGATTCGGATGACATCGACCCTTGGTCGTGCACGATCCCAAAAGACGTATAGTAAGATTTTGAGAACGGTCTTGGAAAACAAATTATCTCTAGAGAATTGAACTCATGACTTAAAGCAATGTCGTGTAGACACGTAAAAATAATGGTAAGTAACTAATACTAAAATACACACTGCAAAGTATGAACTAAGAAATTTTCTTATTCATTTAAGATAGAACAACACTAGGTACTAAAATACCATAAAAAAAATCCATGCATCTGGCTAATCCACAAAGAAGAACGCCATCTTGTACTACAACTCAGCGATAACAAGTAAAATTCGAACAAATTTAAGCATTGCAACTAGTGAAAAGGTTTCATCATAGTCTACCCCATGAATTTATTTATAGCCTTTAGCAACCAGTCTTGCCTTATAGGTATGTACCTTACCATCCTTGTCAGTGTTCTTTTTGAAGACCCATTTGCATCCTATAGGATTAACTCCTACGGAGGCTCTACAAAGGTCCAAACCTGGTTTGTGTACGTGGAATCCATTTCGAATTTCATGGCTTCTAGCCACTTCTCATACTCAGAACCAGTTATGGCCTCTTGGTAGGTTACAGACTCATCTTGATCCATGAGTAATACATCATTTTAATCAGTTACGAAATATCCATATCTCTGTGGTTAGTGACATATCTTGCTTGACTTACGCTAGTCTTGTTCTACTTCAGCAGGTTGCTCTTCCACAACTACTTATGATTCCTGCTCTAATTCCTCCATAGGTGTATCAATGCTTTGTGATTCTTGAGTTTCTTCAAGCTCTACTTTCCTCTCACTTCTTCCTTTGAAAATAAAGTCCTTTTCCAAGAAAACTCCAGTTCGAGCGGCAAACACTTTGCCCTTAGAAGGATTGTAAAAGTTATACCCTATTGTTTCTTTAGGATACCCCACAAATAAGCATTGTCATATTTAGACTCAAACATAGTTGAAATTTGTCATATCACATAAACTTCACAATCCCAAATCTTCATGTAAGACATCTGTGGTTTCTTACCACTCTATATCTCATATGGTGTCTTCTCAACCTTTTTGGATGGAACACGGTTAAGTGTGTAAGCTGCTGTCAGAAGTTCATGTCCCCAAAAAGAGTTTGGAAGATCGAAGTGACTCATCATGGAACATATCATGTCTAACAAGGTTCAATTTCTTCTCTCAGATACACCATTTCATTGTGGTGTTCCAGGAGGAGTGAGTTGGGATAGAATCTCACACTCTTTTAGATGGTCATCAAACTCTAGGCTTAAATACTCACCGCCTCGATCTGATCAAAGAGTTTTAATATTCTTACCTAGTTGGTTTTGTACTTCATTCTTGAACTCCTTGAACTTTTCAAAGAGTTCATATTTGTGTTTCACTAAATACACATAAGCATATCTACTGAAATCTTTAGTAAATGTGATGAAGTATTGAAAACCTCCTCTGGCTGGTATATTTAGTGATCCACACACATCAATATGTATGAGGGCCAAAAGATCATTACCCCTTTCACCTTTTCATATGAATGGAGACTTTGTCATATGTCCAATTAAATAAGATATGCATGTATCATATGATTCGTAATCAAAAGAGTCTAAGAGTTCGTCTTTATGGAGTTTGGAGATGTGCCTCTAATTTATATGGCCTAAGCGATAATGTCAAAGGTAACTTGGGTTTAACTCGTTAGGTTTCATTATTTCATTATTAATTTTATAAATTGGCATTTCAAGATCAAGGACATACAATCCATTGTTCATTTGTGCAGTAGCATAGAATATATCATTCAAATAAATGGA